GAGCTATACCCTCCCCCTGACTCACTCTTAGATCATAACAGTTGCTTGATTTCAGTACTAACTGCAGCTAGAAGAAAGCTGAGCCTTGTGGCATCGGGACACACATAAGAAATTGTTTAGAGGAATTTAAACATAGTATGTAAAACTTCTCTGTGTATGGACAGGTCTGTGTGGGCTGCTCTGTGATTTACACTAAGTCTCCAGTTTGGCTTAACGCTGGCATGCATACATCCTTGAAATTGGTGCTGCAGTTTGGAGAATCAGCAGGTTGTCACTTCTGTGACAGGAGTAAGAGCAAATAATACAATAACAAGACAATGACAAGAAAGGCCAACTATAGGTTAGCCATTGTTTTTTAGAAAGTTGCAACATATATTATAACAGAGATATCCTTGTTATGGTCCGTAGTTTCAAATTACTTAATAAGACTTTTCACGTATAGAAAATTTTGATTCATGTAAACTGAATGAAATGTGTATGTGTCCATGCACTTGTGAATATATAAGTGCATTCATTCTAATTTGAGTGTAAATTGTAGGTTTTCAGATATTTGAAGTATTTCATCATAGTGACAGATTGAAAGATTATTGTATAACTCACTGTCTTAAAAGCCTTTTTGATTATTTTCAATTATTAAATTTTTTTTAATTTAGAATTTTTATTGAGATAACTGTAAATGCACGTCCAGCTATAAGACATAATGCAGAGGGATCCCTTGTACACTTGTCCAGTTTCCGTCAATGGTAACATTTTTCAAAATTATAGTATAATAACACAGCCAGGATTCTGATATTAATACGGTTCACTCATCTTATTCAGACTTCCCCAGTTTTACGTGTACTAAATTGTATGTGTGTATGAAGTTCTATACAGTTCCATTCCCTGGGTGGGTCCCAGTATCTACCACCCCATTCAAGATACTGAGCAGTTCCAAGAGCCGCCCAGCGATCCCTCGTACTGCCCTTTTATCGTCACCCCCACTTCTTTCCTGCCCTCTGCCCTCACTCCCTTACCCTCTCCCTCCGTTCCTAATACCCGGCAACCACTAATCTATCCTTCCCTAAAGTCTCGTCATTTCAAAAGTGTTATATAAATGGAATCATATAATATGTGACCTTTTGGGATTGACCTTTTCCCACTTACTACAATTCCCTTGAGATCTATCGAAGCTGTGTGCATCAGTAGTGTGTTCTTTTTACTGCTGAGTATTCCATTGTGTGTGTGTACTGGTTTGTATTTAACTGCACACCTACTGAAGGGAATCAGGCTAATTCCAATTTTTGGCTGTTAGAGACCAAATTGCTGTGAACATTTGTGCATAGATTTTTGTACGAACTGGAGTTTTCATTTCTCTGGCATGAAAGAACAGGGGTCCACTTGCTGGAACACAAGGGTAGTTAATGTATAGTTTTATAAGAAACTACCAAACTGGTTTTCAAAGTGGCTGTACCATTTTACATTCCCGCCAGCAATGAATGACTACTCTAATTTCTCCACATCCTCACCAGTGTTTGGTGTTATGGCTATTTTTTCATTTTAATTATTTAAAAGCTAATTAAGTGCTCAAAGTTTAGTAAGTTTTTAAGAAGATCAAAAAAAAATTATACTATATTGATCACTCTTAGAGGAATTCAGTGTTTTAAAATTAATTTTGTATTTTGAGCCCAGAGTGAGGCTTTCCCTGCACTTCAGAAGGTTTCCTTTGCCCCCTACTTTGCAGAGGCAGGTTCAGTGTAAATGTACAAGTTTCTACTGAAAGGTTTTATTACCTAGAGTCTATGAATCTTTGCTGACACAGTACTGGGCACGATTTTTAGACCTTCACTTAGATCACTTTTTAACTCTGAATCTTTAAAAATTTTATTAGAAATTTTTGGCATGGAATAAAGATGGTAGTTAACCATTTACTGTGCGTTCACCTTGGATCAGGACTACTTTAAGTGCTTTAGATACATTGTTTTCCATCCTTGAAAACTTCACTTTTGTAGTTTCTAGCAGTTGGGGAGTTGTTTGGAAGATAGTGACCACGTGGACCTGGGCTGGCAACAGACTCCTGGCACTTGACTATGTTGCAAATTGTGTCTGTGCTGCTTTCTTCCACAGATGACTTCTTTCAGCTAATGTGGAAAATTGTGATAATGTTTATATATCTACCTCATCTGAGCAAACCATAATCCATGGGTCATTAAGAGTGGAATCTATAAAGTGGAGGGTGTGGTCCTAGTGAACACAGCGTGATAAGCGTGCTTTTCTTAGAAGAATATTTTTTCTTTCCGAATTAATTAAAATACCCTTTTTATAATTATCACGAAACTGCTACTCATCTCACTCTTCTCTCCTGCTTCTCTTGTGCTTATCTACTAGACAGCCTCCAGGTAACAGATTTTATTTTTATTTTGTCTGTTAACAGGTGACAGTTAAAGGCTTTGAACCTTTGATTCAGTTTGCCTACACTGCGAAACTGATTTTAAGTAAGGACAATGTGGATGAAGTGTACAAGTGTGTGGAATTTTTAGGTGTACCCGATATTGAGGAATCCTGCTTTCAGTTTCTCAAATATAAATTTTTGGACTCCACTGCAGACCAGCCAGGATGCCCAAGAAAAAAATGCTTCTCGTCATCCTGTGAGAAAACAGATTTTAAATGTTCCCTTTTTGACCAGAGGGATTTAGAAATTGATGAGGTGGAGGAATTCTTGGGAAATAAAAATGTTCAGAATCCTCACTGTAAACTCCGTAGGCATCAAGGCAGTGCAAAAGTGTCACCTCCTCTACAAGACAGTGCCAGTCAAACATGTGAATCCATGTGCTTAGAAAAGGATGCTGCTCTGGCTTTGCCGTCTTTATGCCCCAAATACCGAAAATTCCAAAAAGCTTTCGGAACTGACAGAGTCCGTGCTGTGGAGTCCAGTGTCAAAGACGTTCAGGCTTCTTCTGTTCAGCCAAATGAGACATCTGAAAGTGATTGTCTGGGAGCAATCCAGGACTGTGCAGATCTGCAGGTGATTTTAAAATGTGAAGACAGAAAATTAGCAATGGAACATGAAGAAACCAAGAAAAAAGATCCTGCTTCTCAGTGCCCATCAGACAAAACAGAAGCGACTCCTTTCCCCCCAGCTTCTGCAGACCCTCATGGACTCTATACTCTGTCTCTCTTACACACGTATGACCAGTATGGTGACTTGAATTTTGCTGGGGTGCAAAACAAGACAGTGTTAACGGAAAAGCCTTTGTCAGGTTCAGATGTTCGAGAGGAGAAAACTTTTGGTGAGAGTCAAGATTTACATCTGAAATCTGACTCTGGCCCCAGGGAAGATAGTAGTAGCCTTGCCTCGAGTGATCTGAGCAGTGTCGAGCGAGAAGTGGCAGAACACCTAGCAAAAGGCTTCTGGAGTGACATTTGCAGCACGGACTCTCCCTGCCAAGTGCAGTTATCACCTGCCATGGCCAAAGATGGCTCAGAACAGATATACTCCCAGAAACGGTCTGAGTGTCCCTGGTTAGGTATCAGGATCAGTGAGAGCCCAGAACCTGGTCAAAGGACTTTTACAACCTTAAGTTCTGTCAGTTGCCCTTTTATAAGTACACTTAGTGCTGAAGGCTGCTCAAGCAATTTGGAAATTGGAAATGATGATTATGTTTCAGAACCTCAGCAGGAACCATGTCCCTATGCTTGTGTGATTAGCCTGGGAGATGACTCTGAGACGGATACCGAAGGAGACAGTGAACCCTGTTCAGCCAGAGAACAAGAATGTGAGGTGAGCGGAAAAATGAGTGTGTTGTAAAGTCGTCGTTTTACCACCATTAATTGGAGTGAATGCGTCAGCTCCCGCTGCACCACTAGGGATATGAGCTGGTTCAGGGAGGGAGGACGAAGCCAACACACAGTTAGTTATAAAACCATGTGATAAATACCAAGAGTGTGTGATGAATGTTGAAGGACTTCCGTGTTCATATCTTTCCAGCAGGTGTATGTATTATGATAACCAGAGTAGATTCACGTATTGGCCATTTAACTGTTTAAATCCAATGCCATGTCCCAAGAGGAAAAAGAATAGATTCTGTAATCATCATGTGACAACTCCTGGTTAAATACAGCACATATTCAGTCTTACTCATTGCCACAAGCATGTCTAGACATGGGACTAGCCACTTAGCAATGACTTAGCAGTGACTAGTTGTAGGAAAGTGGCTTCTGATCCAGAGTTTTCTTTACACTAGTTTCTCATGGCTATTAATGTTTTTCTTATTTTCCTTTCACCATTTCAGCTATGAATTTAAAGAATGTCTTAATAATTTAGCATGAATTACGTGTAGCTGGTACGGTATTAATCATACCAAGCTTGATCTGTATGTTTTGTATATAAATGTTTGCGTTTGATAAATTATTTTTTTTTTTTGGTAAAACGTTACTATATTTCCAGTAATAATAAGGGCTTGTTAGTTCTTTATCATGTTCTTTGGTTTTATAGCTGTTGGATGACGTAGTTTGAAAGAATGAAAGAGGTTTTTCTCCCCCTTGGCTTTGGAAAGAGGTGATTGGTGATTTAATTTAAGAAGTAATAATGAATGCTTGGGTTGAATCTATAGATTTTTATATGACATTTATAAATCCAGTGTTTAGAGCTATGAAAACAATGTTAAAAATAAAACATTTAAGAAATTTTAGAATATTTAGTGTAACTAATTTCTGTAAGCTTGAAAACTAAGTTGCCAGAGAAACTCACCAGTGTTCATTTGTGTTTTTGATGCTAATATAATTAAACTGTTCCACAATTTTATTGTTTTTTAAAAATTATCTTTTTTTTTCAAATTTGGGTATGAGGAAATGACTTGAAAATATTCATAAGATTTTTCTAACGATTTCTACATTGGCAAGTAGAATAAGTTATGTGAAACTGCCATTTTCCTGACAGAAAAATAAATTTTCTGAAATGCTTTAGAAGTTACTAGTGTTATAGACCAGTATTAAATCAGTGCTACACAGTAATATAAATCAAAGAATAAAATATATATATTTTGGTTTAGGTAAAAACATAATTTAAAACACTTCAGAAAGAACCTTAACGATATTTATGGGATATTAATATGCCCTAGTAAGGTAATTTAAATTCTGTTTAAGTATAAATGAAATTCCCTGGAAAATATAGATGCATATCTTCCTCTTTCTGGGTTTAAGCAGAACTACAAAATACAGCACCAATTACTAATGTTAATCTCACCTTCTAGGTAAAACTGCCATTTAATGCGCAACGAATAATTTCACTCTCTCGAAATGATTTTCAATCCTTGTTGAAAATGCACAAGCTAACTCCAGAACAGCTGGATTGCATCCACGATATTCGGAGAAGAAGTAAGAACAGAATTGCTGCGCAGCGCTGTCGCAAGAGAAAACTTGACTGCATACAGAATCTGGAATCAGAAATCGAGAAGCTGGTAAGTATACAAGTTTCTTGTTATTGTAACTCCAACAATTCATTCTTACTTTCTTTTTTGTACAGGAAACAGCTATTTCAGTTCCTAAGTCAGATACAATGCTTAATTATATATTAATTTTAAAATTTGCCAATTACTATTTTAAGAAAATAAAGCTTAGGAAATCAAAAACAGTGAGAGTTTTTAATATACTGTTTTACTTATGAAGTTTTCTCCGTGTTTAGCATGATATACTATTATATGTAAGTTGAGAACTATTTCTGTGTGCTTTTTTATAAAATGATTTATAAATGAAGGATAATTTTACTATTTACCTAATTCTTGGTGGTAAGGATTAAAGAAATTATACAGCACTTTAATCTCTTTGTGCTGTGTTTGGCATCTATAAAAGCTAATATTCCAGCTGTTAGTTTAAATGAACTAGTAACTTGTTTTGGTTGATACCAGAACAAACCAGCCAACTTTCTTATTATTCAGCTTTGACTAAATACTTCCCTGCCTTAGACAGAGTATAGCGTTTTAGCTCTAGTTATTGTTCTGTACTGTAATACAGAGATGCTCTTGAGATTGTTGGGTTGAAGAGAGCTATGGGAAATCTGCATAAACTTGTACTACTGGAGTTCTTACACCTGCTCCTTGTAGTTCTGTCTTCCTCCTCAGCTAGTGATAATTTACAGCTGCCAGTAGAATTTATCTAGTTTCCGTCCTCCTAAAAACAAACAAAAATGAAAACAAAACAAAAAAGCCCTTCAGATTGATCAGGTTTGTTTCATCAGTAGCTTTATTTTATGCATGTACTATGCAAATATAATGGAGAATAACTATTACCCTTTAAAACCATTCTGTTTCCTGACTCACTAGTCTTGTATATATTTTTTTGATTGAAGTCAGACATTGGATTGCTGGACAATTGATATTTTTACTGAATTTCAGATATCTAAGACGAAGAGGTCTTGCTACTTCCTTTGAACTTTGCTCCCTCTGCCTTTGCCTCGACAGAGAGCAGTGGGAGATGCAGTGGTTCAAAGGATGGGATTCCGAACCACACTCCCATCTGTGGCACTTTGTAACTCTGGGCAGGCTATTTAATTTCTCTGTCCCTCAGGTTTCTACCCTGTAAAATGGGATAAAACTAGCTCTTACTTTATAGAGTGGGTGTTCATTTATGAAGATTAAATGAGTTAGTACCTCTAAGAGCTTAGAAAAGTGACTGACACGTAGTAAGCACTCAATAAATGCTGCCTTTTTCTTCTTATTATTGCTGTACTATTATTTATCAATTTCCTGTTTTCTCTCCTTTAATTGCTTCTTTCCTAGTGTCTCTGCCTTAACTGTAAGCTCTGGGTTTGGACCTCACCCTTATATTGCCCATCTCATTACAGTAAGGTTCCTTTCACATGGTCAATGCAGTAACTCCTGGTTAATTTCTAATACAAAGGAATGTTTGGTTTCCCAGTAGTTTTTAGGAAATAGAAACCAGGCTGATCAGTACCCTATTTACCTGCGGTATTAACTTGGACTCTCTGCAAGAACAGAAACCATCTGAAACATGAATTATTGAATGAACGAATGAATGAATGAATGAATTTGTTGTAAGGATTTACATGTGTCTCAATTAGAAGCCAAAGAATGGAGGCAGGCCTTGTAAATAGCATAGTGTAAGAGGTGGAAAACTGCCAGGAACCCAGAGAATCTTCTCTCTCAGCTCATCTCTGTGCACCTGCTCACCCTCCACACCGCAGGATGGCTCTGTGTGCTGCCAAGCGTGTATGGAAGAGTGGCTACAGCACAGCTCTGGGACAGGTCCACTCTCCTCCAGGACCAGTCCAGGTGGAGATCACTGTTTTAATCAGTTCTAAATTCCCAAGGAGGAGAGCATCTCTTTGGCCTGTTTTGGCTCAGGTGTCCTCCTCTGGGACTAGAGCGCAGGAATGAACAGCAGAAACGTGGCTGCCAAGATCCCACCTCTCTGGGCAGGTAGAGCAGACAGCCTGACGGGTCTGCTCACCCAGATGTGTGCCAGTCTGAAGTCAGTCTCTTTCCTCTTCCAAGATATCCCTAGAGGAGACACGTTAGAATTTTAAAAAAATCTGAGTGACTTGCTTTCTGTTTCAGCTTCCTTGAATTCATCCTATTCTCAGTTCTAGTGATTTATACAGGCACACTCCACTTGCAGCGTATAAGGGGCACGTTATAAATTTCAGTCCTGCCACAGAAGTCGCTTTCAGATGAATAAGCAGAAAATGTGGTACTTTTTAGCTAATAAGAATAAGAAAGCTGGCCCTTTTCCTGAAGTAAGAGAATTTGATGCTTAAGATAGTAATTACATTAAGATGCCTGCTTAGAACTTAGACCCTGGTTATCGGGTGATGTTATGGACCTTGTTGTCTTTTGGTAAAGAGGAAATTTACCCCCACACTTCTGTCACAGACACCTGTTTAGTTGTATGGAGAGTTCGGAATATGGAGGAGTGTGATAGATTTTTTTTTTTTTGATCAAGGTGTCACTTTTGGAAGCATGGCCAGTAGACAAGCAGTGTTTCCCAGTCTCTATGGTCTGTGTGGGATTTTAGCAGACCTACTTAATGGAAACTACATTGTTTCATAATTAGGATTAATTTTAATACAACTGGTGATTGATTGGATTAACATTAATAAATTCACGGTGTGCCCTGTCTGGTAATATTTGGGCAGAGGGCCCCATATTTTTGTAAGCTTTGGTCTTTGGCTATTGACTCTGAACTTTCTGTAGTTGGTCCTTAGAGTAATAGCCTAGTAGACTTGGACGGATCAACACATGAAAAAAAAAGTTCTGATTATAGTAAGAATAATGACTTGAAAATGTCTTAAAGGTGGGTCAATAGGATAATTATCATGTATAAAGGGTGCTTTTATGGTGCTCCCTTAAGTCAAAGGGAGCTGTTAGTTCAAAATACGGAGTTTTATTTCTCAACAAGAAGTTCTATCAGCCTAACAGAACCTTTGAAGAAAAGGAAAGGCATGATTTGGTTGATAAGTTGATGGTATTGACTTTTAACATTTATTTTGAATTTGATAGTATTTTAGAGGTTAGACATTAATTCAGCATTGCTTTTACTGTAAGGATTGAATATACGTAATCTATAGCCCAAAACATGACTTTTTTTTTAACCAATAAATGTAAGATCTTGAACAAAGTTCAAGATTCATTCAACTCCTCTTATGTGTTTGGCATATAAAGCCTTTGTCTTTATAGGATTCTTTATAAGGTCCATGTTTATTCTTTTATGTAAGATTAATTCAGAAGTTAGAAAATATGTGTCTCTGATACCATTTAGTCCTCAAAGGTAACCTTGAAATGAACCTTGCTTTTTAAAGAAAAAAAAATTACCAACATGTATTTCTCTTAGAAGAAGATATTGCTTGATATCAGCTTGTAAGTGATCGGAAGTTACAGTATTCATAAGCTCTTGAACTCAGGGTTGAGGTGTTCACACACCATTTTGTTTCATTCTATTATGATGGTATAGGAGGAAAACGACCTCATCTGTCTTTAGTGTTCTGCATTTTTGTGAAGATTGTGTTATTATCTCATTAAAAATACGCCTTTTCTGGTCACATTCTACTGGCTGCTCTAGCTACATGTGCACTGCCATCTCCAAACACTCCAGTGGGCCCTCCTGGAACCTGCTGTCCGCCACTCTGTGAGGCCCTTGAAATGTGGTCTGTGTACCACTGGCATCAGTTATCCAGGGGGCCCCCCTTCAAAATACACTCTCCCCAGTCCCATCCCGACCTATGGGAGGGGCCCAGGAACATGCATTTTAAAAAAGTTTCCAGGGTAAATCTTTATTACGCACATTAAATTTTGAGAACTTACTGCAGTAGAACTCAGAAGTCACATGGAGGCTTTGGAGTCGAAGGGCTGGAAATTCTGCCTGGCCGCTTGGTAGTTTCGTGGTCTGGAGAAATAATTTCACCTCCAATACCCAGTTTCCTCATTGGTAATACGGAGATAAGAATCCCCCTGTCAGGTCTGGTGCAAGGCTCAGATGCCACTAGGGATGGGAAGCCTTTTGTGTTCCCAGCACATATTCAGGGCACAGGAGGTGCTAGTAGTTGTGTTTTCTGTAAGCATCTGCTGGTCACTGCATACTAAATGTACTGGGTACTAGGAAATCAAAGATCAATGACACGTGGTACTTGCCAGTAAAATGCTTTTAGTCTCATAGGAAGCCAGGTTTATGTGTGTTCATTGTTTCTTGAGACTCATCTTCCTCTTCCCCATTCTAAAAATTTCACGCTTTCAGCAGAGCTAAATGAACAGTGCAGTAAAGGACCATATACTCCCCAGGTAGATTCACCAGTTATTGACATTTTCCCACATTTGCTTTCTCTCTCTTTCTGTGGGTCTTGGTCTCTGTCTCTCTGCTCGGGTGTGTGTCCCCCTGCTCCAGTTGATTGGTCTTTGTCCCTGTTCCTGTCGGTCAGTCTTGGTCTCTTTTTAACCACAGTGGAGTGAGCTTGGTCTCACTGTCTTTCTTCTCTGACTCTGTCACTCTCCTGTAATTTTCCGAATCATTTGAAACCTGTCACATTATAATATTTCACCCCTAATTGCTTAAATCTGCATCTCCTAGAAATAGACATTCTTATATATCTATCACATTTATTTACAAGTATCTTTATCACATCTGAGAAAATTAATACATTTTCGATATTATATGTAGTCCCTATTCAAACTACCCTAATTGTTCCTAAAATATATTTCATCTATGTGATTTTTCTTTTCTCTTTTCAGACTAGGATCCGGTCCTCACATGACACATTTGGTTCTGCCTTTTTGGTTTCCTAAATAGAACAAATCTGCCTCCCCTCTCATTATTTTTTTTAAATGACAGTAACTTTTTGAAGAGTCCAGGCCAGATTTCTCTTACAAGTCCTACTTTTTATGTTTGTCTGATTGTTTCCTCTTGGTTTTATTGAACTCCTTCCTCCACTCCCTGTGTTTCGTGTAAACTGCAAAAGGGAGAGTTCTGCGGCTGAGATTAAACTTTTATCGGTGTATCCTTGGTACTGCATCACTTGGGGAGGCGCAGTGTCAGGGTGTCCCACCTGAGCACACGTGAGTTGCCAGATCATTTTCAAAAAAAAATTTTTTTTGCTTTTGTAATTGTTTAGTAATCTCTGTGTGTTCATTAGGGCCTTTGCGAATATCCAGTTCCCCAGTACCTTTGGTTTTAAGCACACATTGATGGCCTTTACAAGTCGGGGCTGCAGAATTGTGGCTTTTCAAATGTTGTCTTTCCACTTACATTTATTGGTATTCGTCTTTAAAAAGAATTTTCCTTCCCTCCTCTTCTCCCTCCCTCCCAACACACCCCTTCTGTGTCACTGTGGACCAGTGGATTAATTTTTTTCTAATTTAATTTTTTTAAACTCATAATGGTTATTGGTCTTCTTGATGTTGACATTTTTTTTCAAACATGGCCAGGGAGAGCCAGCCCCCCTCAGCCAGCTGCTGTGTGCTTTTGACATGACCCCATTAGTGTTTCGGTGCCGCCTAGAACGGCATGTCATAGGCTCACCTTGTACCTCTCTTGTCCTAAGACTGGGAATCATGCTTTCTCTAAAAGTCCCGGGTTTCTTATAACAGGTATTAGACACTAGGAAGCATGCTTGCTCCTGGAAATGTTGGGAAATTGTGCGTGTGTGTGTGTGTATAAAATCTTGAGTGCAGTCAGTATGTGTATCATTCTTCAATAAATAAAAGTGTTAGAAATCATGAGTTCATGCAGATATTTCCAATCAAAATTTAATTGTACAGAGCTTTTGTCTTTTTACTTCTTTTATATATTTATATTTTATCTCTTTTCATTATAGGGAAGATCTTGGCTTCCAATTATATTAATGTATTTACTATTTGATAAATACATATATATATATATCCTATATATGTTGTAAAGTTATAATGTCAATATTCTATTCATAATAAATTGAGTAAAATGTAAGATTTCTTTGCTTTTTTTCTTTGTCCCTAAATGTATATACCATAGTACTGAAGTTTAAAGTTTAGAAGTTATTCAAAGTAATTCTTTGTTTATGTTAGCAATTTGATATACTGTGAACTTGTTTCTATTTCTATTACTGGGATTTACTCTTCACATTTTTAAGTTTAAGTTTTGAATATGTAAAATGTCTACATGGTTTAAAAGTTAAAACTGTGTTTAAAAAAAGTTATTCCAAAGTCTTGGATCTCATCTTCTCCCTGTCCCCTATTCATAGCTATAACACTTCTCATTAATTCCTAGATTTTTTTTCTTGCATTTTTCTAAAAGCAAGTTAATATTGTATGTGTATTTTCATTACCCTTTCTGCTACAGAGAAGTATTCTATATATATATATATATATACCGTTGTGTATTTTACCGTTTTCACTTAAGAAGTGATTTCCAGGAAGTGCTTTTCTTAGTTCAAAGTGGTTGTCGTTCTTGCTGAAGCTCCCTGGTGCTCAGCTGTGGCTGCAGCACAGTTAATCCAAACCAGTCTCTTATTGGACATTTGGGATACTGTAGTTGATAACTTTGTACCTTGTTTATTTTAACGTTTAATAAGATGTGTCTTTAAGACAGATTCCTAGAAGCAGGATTGTTGGATCAAGAACAAATAAATATGCAATTTTGTTAGATATTATTGAATTCCTTTCAGTAGGGGTTACGGCATTTTGCTTTCCCACCAGCAAAAATAATGCGTGTCTGCCCACAACCAAGGCAGAAAGTTTGTTGTCTGCTTTTGTTTTTTCCGTAGTCTGACTGAGAGGATTGGTATCTTATGGTAGCTTTTATTTTATCTCTCTATGAATGAAATTGAGCACTTTTATTCATATTTTTAAGACTCATTTGTGTATTTCTATGAACTGTCTGTGCAGAGGTTTTGCGTCATAAGGGACTATTAGTCATCACTTTCTAGCTGTGAGTCTCTAACCTAAAATAAATTGTCACTGTCATCTGGCTTTCTTGGTGCCAAATTCTTCCACTCCTAATCTTTATTGGGTGAGTTATATTTGGAATCTTTTTTTAAAAAAAACTCTTATATTTGAATGAATATTGTACACTAGCTGTTGAAAATATGGATTTGGGTGTACATTTATTTTCTTGCCACAAAATACAGAATAGTGCCAGGATTCATTTTTAAAAAATAGATCTGTGATTAAAGCCACAGCACTTCATACTTGAGATTCATAGGGTTGCATTTTAAGAAAATTCAAGTATATTGTAGAAATAGGGAGCAGGACACTGGTAGTATGTTTGGGAGGTGTCTTTAATAATGAAATCATGAAGTGATTAAGTTGAATTACTTTTATTAAACTGAGTGCTACTGAAGTAAATCTGTGTTTTAAAATTAGAGTAAAATGGAAAAATCAGCTAACTGCCTGGAAACTTAACCCTTGTAGGAGTTAGCTTAAAGTACAGAGGAACAGAAGGGAGCATTTAATTTATAGAAATAATCATGGTAGACTTTCAGGGTTGGACCTGTTGGTTTTAACTGTTATGAAGAAGCAAGCCATCTTGTATGGGACATACTTAGAGTACAGTGGTGTCATCTTTTATTTAGGAGAGTGGTAGTGAGAATATTTTAAGATTGTACTAATATTGTCAAAAGATACAGAAGTTATAAAGTCATCTTCATAGTATCTGTAAGTTAAATAGTAGTTCTGATTTCTGGGAGGAAGTTCACATATTCATTATTTTGCTTAACCATATTTAATTTAAAAGAGCAGCCAACAGTTGAAAATTTGCCTGTTGCTACTTAGGGCAGAGATTCATCCCAACTTTGATAGAGGAGTCTCTGGCTGAATATTGATATGACTGAGGAAAACGTTTCTCATTTACTTCTGGAAGCTTTGTTTCCATCCTCATTTGGATTGGCTGCTGAAGGGCCATACAGAGAAGTGGGTGCTGATTGCATTAAATATATTTATTCTCTGCCAGGTGGCAGGCATTGTTTGCCCTACAAGCCCAGCAGAGTCATTTTATTTGAAGGCTACAGCTGACAAACTTTCTGTACAGAAAAATGTACTTGCTGAACATTGATCCTGCTTTTATTTATTTTGTGTATATGTATATTTTTTCTTGGCCTCTACCTATTTTTTCAAACTAGAACAACTTGGAGAATACCTTGCAATATAAAATTTAGTGCTTTATATTCATTGCACATTTTCTCAAAATATTAGATGGCCTTAAATTATTTAAAAACTACCAATAATTGGATTTACACACAGTTTTATAGAAAAACCTTTATATAAAACTGTAGTAGTACTTTTGTGCAAAGCAAATTTCTTTTTACCCTTTTAGCCATTTCTGTTCCAGAAAAGAATCTATTTAGAGGTTGGCCATTGTAGATGGTTACTATGAAATAACCTGTGTAAATGTTAACTGGCAACATTAAACAGCTCAACTCTCCAGAAACCTGCCAACAAGCAGAAAACCAAGAGAGTTGTCATACATTGCACAAGAGAAATCTTTGACCCTCTATCAACATTTATTTACTCTTACCTTATAAACAGCTGGATCATTTGGTTTTCTAGCTCATACTAGCTTAGGAGTGCAGCCGTGGTGGAATGGGAAGGATGAGGTGGGGCATTGGTAGAAAACGATGTGCTGTCAGGGTGACCGTGATGGTGGACAGAAAGGCAGGAACCAGGAAAATCTGAAAAAAATTCTGTGGGCAGACTTTCCTGCAGGGATAAATTTTAAAGTGAAAATAACAACAGCATGAATAATAATAATAATTAACAAATACAAATCCCCCCCCCCCCAGTTCTTTACTCTTCACCCACTAACTCACCCACTAGCTTTCTGACTCTGGGCATTTTAAACTCTGAATCCCATCTATAAAATGGGTTTGATATTCCTGAAATGAAAGCCATTGTGAGGACTGTAGCTAAGATTGTGTATTTGAAAACATTTAACACAGTATCTGGCACAGAGTAAATGCCCCGCAAATGTCAGTCATTATTACAGTCTTGCAGGAGTAATGATCTCTGCGGTTGTGCTTTTTGAGGCCATGTTTTCCATCCAAAAAGTCCACCCTTGTTTATCTGCAGTCCACAAATCCAGAAAGCTCTAAGATTGTGCACGTTTGTCACAAACTGCTTTGACCAAAAACCTGACAGACTGACATCAGGTTGTGGAGAGTCTGTATTTACCCTACTTTGTGCATTGCTATTTTAATGTGTTTTATTTAGAAACGGAAAGGTGTTTGATAGTGGGGTACTGCCTGGAGACCCTGCTAGAGACATTATGTGTGCATCCATATTTTCTTTCTAAAATCTGAAAAACTCTGAATCCCAAGGTACATGTATCTGAATTTGGGGTGAGGGGGTGATGGACCTTACATATTTAATACATTTTTGAGTTGAGTTGACAGGAGAAAGTCCATGTGCTCTTATTTAACGAGAAGACGCCGTGGAGGTGAGTGTGTGAGCACCTGAGGGATGCTGACAGAGCTCAGAATCACAACTCACTGTGTCTCTTTCTTGCCCTGGCAGCAAAACGAAAAGGAGAGCTTGTTGAAGGAAAGGGATCACATTTTGTCAACTCTGGGCGAGACGAAGCAGAACCTGACCGGACTTTGCCAGCAAGTCTGCAAGGAAGCAGCTCTGAGTCCAGAGCAGATACAGATACTCGCCAAGTACTCGGCCTCCGACTGCCCACTTTCCTTTTTAATTTCCGAGAAAGGAAAGAGCCCTCCTGACGGGGAGCTCGCGTTGCCGTCGATTCTGAGTTTACCTGAAGGGCCTGTGGCCGCCGGGGAGCCAGGCCTTCGCCTCCCCAGCGCCAAGGCCAAGGCCGATGAGGCCCCCCCGGAACAGGCTGCGCCCAGGGAGCCCTGTCGCCAGGGCGGTGGCATCTCGGATTTCTGTCAGCAGATGACTGACAAATGTACTACTGATGAGTAACCCTACGTCCGCGTCCTTCACACCAGCTCAGTTTCTACTGAAATTCTGACATTGTCTTGAAAGCCTAGGACAGCCCTTGGCTCTTCGCAGTGTTGTTTCCTCCCCTCTCCCTTGCTGTTAAGGGCATCCCTCTGCAGTCCACCCTTGACTTTTCCTCGGTTCCCGCAGGAGATGCAGAAATGACTTGCCTCCTGGATGCCAAAAAAAATCACACGTGAAAATGTAGAAAAGTTTCGAAAACTCATGTTTTTAAAGAATAATAGCTATGAATTAATAACTCTAGCCAGTGTTCAGAATAAATGAAAACTGCAGCGTATCCAACCACAGTTAAACAGTGTGAAATGTCTGCAGATAGTTTCTGTGAAGGGAGCAACCTGCAAAAGTTTATAATCCGACCCTCTCGCAGTGTACTGGTTCAAAAGAAAATTTCTCCCCAAGTAAAGAGCTCAGGCCTGCTGAGAAGTCGGGTGTCGGCAGCTTGGGCTTGTTTGTGTAGAACTGCGGTGTGGGAAAGATAAAGGAAACGTCTTGCCTGAATCCTGGCGCTTTGCTCTTCAGCTCCTGCTAAAACCAGGGATGGGCCGGCCCGTGTTGTGCTCCTTGGCCCCGGGATAGTTAGGAAACAGGCAGGCGGGTGGCCTCCAGCAGGGACTTCTGTTCCTCCTCAACATTGACTCTAAAAGAGTTCTGGCTGCGTCAGCAGTAGATAAGTGTCATTTCCCTCTTTTCTTTTTTTCTCTTCAGTCTCTTCCACATCTGGGTCCATCATGATCTTTCTGTTTCCTGGCATTCTTGTCCCTTTGGAAGAAGAAATAGGACTCAGGGTACGGTGGCTTGAGCGCACACATTGGCAATACCGTCTTATCCCCTCCTAGAATCCTGGAGAGCTCACCAAAATACAGGACTGTTTGCCTGCCCAACAGAGGTCACCCACATGAGAAAACCAGATATCACAGGAGAAAAAAATTGTCTACGTTTATCAGGAGTGGCAGTTCATTTTTCATCCGTTTTTGAAGCCCTATGGTTTATTTGTAAAAATGCATTATTACTGTGCAGGTTTGTGAAATAGGATGAAGTTTGATCTTGTTCCATTGTGGGTTTAAATTTGGAAGCCAGATTTAATCTTGCTCGCTTCCCCAGATCTCGTGTATAAGGGCACACAAATCATTTTGGACTTGGGCATTTTAAAATCAGTCTTTGTGTTTATTCAGTCCTGCTTTAAAATAGTTTTTTTTTTTTTTTTTATAATCTGAGCACCTACCCTGTAACATTTTGCATGGTTCTTAGCCATTCCGCTGTTACCGACTTGTTTGGGAGTCAAATGAAAGCTATGGACCTCTGAAAAATGCAGAAAAATTGCATATTCACAGAAACATTTGCAGAACCTAGTTTGAAAGGATACAAGGGAGTAATTTATAGTGTTTGGGTAGAAAGTACTTCATTTCACCAAGATCAGACAACCTGAGAGAGAGAGACTTTTCTAGATGGCGTCCTGAGTCTAGTGAAGGCTTGTGTAGTTAATGGGGAGCCAGCCGTCTGCCCTGCAGGAATGGGTCTAAGCAAGTCGGCCTTTCCTGGCAGAGTGTATGGGGACCAGACTCCATATTTCAGAGTAATTTGTCAAATGTTACCCTTCTTCCTGGGCAGGTGGTGGTAGGGAAGGTTGCTACTATATTTTCAGTGGTCTGTATGTTATCTGTTATCGACTTAGTTGTTGTAAGAGAAAAGTAGTTGGGCTTGTTTATTTTCTAGAAGCTTTTGTAAGTACACTCAAGAATTTGTCAGGGAGAATGATAATCCTATGATAATGTATCCCATACTACAGAAGATTTATGTGTGTGTGTGTGTGTGTGGTAACCCCATGTAGCTATTTCTCTGATACTTGTAATTTTAAATTTTAACTTCAAAGTATAAAATAATATAAAACCTTTTCTGGTTTACAAATTGTAAAATCTTATACAAGCCAATGGACTCCTTGATTTCCTACCTCAGTGTACACTTGGCTGTTTGTCATATCCGTTCATGTATGTGCAAATGTCAAGTAATCTTTTGCTTTAATTGCTACTGTAAATAACTGCTTTGAAAGATTACTTCCTATTTTATGATAAAACCTAGCTGTCTCCAGAATTTAAATATGACTTCTAGAGCACTTGGTTTAAATTTCTCTCTACATATAAACAGTTTAGCATTAAGGGTTTATTTTAATGGTATTCTGATTATTGGCCAAGTGAAATATTTCATAAAATATTGCATTACTTTTCATAGCCAGCATGTAATACAAGGAACTACACTACCTCATACCTACCTGATTTTCAAGTTGTAATCCAGAGGGACAGAGAGAGAAAAAAAATTTTTTTATCTTTGTCTTTTGGCCATAAAGTGGGGAAAGTTTTTTATATATCACATAGCATTATACACTTATGCCTATTTTACCATTAACTTCTAAAGAAGTTTTTTTTTATAAGGAAATCTAAGTTGATTTTTTTTGAGGCTGCCGAGACAAATGACAGGATTATGTGTGTACAGTGTATGTCTTTTCCTTCATGCAGAATTTTGGCAAAAGGTGGTTTTCAGTTTGTAGATTGCATATTTACATGATCTTTGTTCTTTATTTTATGAGTTAGTCTTCTCACTGCTTGAAATTTCTAAAAAGCTGTTAGGTCTAGCTCAGTAAAATAACCTTACCTTAAGACTTTATTTTTTCGTTATTTGAATCCTGCAGCGATGGCAAATAATTTGCTGTTAAATTGTTACATTCAAAACAAGTATGATATAAATCTTAGTTCTCCATCTGTACCTTTTATCACGTAATTTACTATAGCTTAATGTTTAACTAATTTAAAATGAGGAATCAGACATATTTGATGCAGTAGACGATACAGGTTGCATGTGGACACTCAGCCGCATTAACAACTTGGGAAAATAATTTTAAAATGGGCAATGTTATAATGAATTCTCAGGTGAACTTTTTTCAGTTATGAAACATCTATTTTGAATTTGTAAATATTTTAAGTGTTTTATTAAGGCATGTAATAAACTATTCTTTGAAACCTGTTGGGCAGAATGAAAATGTAAAGCCATGACGGTAAAAGATGGCATACTGATTGTAAAATAAACAGAAATAATAACAGCTATTGATTTTTTTGTATCTTTCATAGTATAATTTTCTAACAATGCAATAAAACCACTAAATTTGTATATCCATATCCGATTAAGATCATGTTTCATTAAAAGTGAACTTTCATAGTATTTAATTTACACTTTCTTCCTAATGTGCTTCTCCAAATGTAGCAAAACTAGAAATGTTAGATGCTCAATAAAACTCTCTGAAATTGCTTCTGATTGAATAGAGTTGTGCATTCCACTTCCAGTTTTTCACCACTCATATGACTCTGCTAACTTGAGCCTTTTGATAAGTAGGCAAGTATGACTGTGGCGTTTGTATGAGGGAATCTTTGATGAGTTCATTATCACGCCTGAAAAAAGAAGTTCCCAGCAGTCAGGTATTGAAGGAAGCACAGATTTTAGCCTTGCTTCGGATTTAATTTTAGTCTTTAGCTAGTGCTGTAGGGTTTTTAAAGGAGCATTGTCTCTTTCAGTCCCTAATTTTTAAAAATTTACCTGAGTCAGTTCTGTCACTCAGCTTCTAAGCAGGCTCTTGTAATCAGGCTTCCAGCAGCGGCTCAGGCTAGTGGCAGTCCAGATCAGGGTCTTCTGGCCTCGTGTTGTCTCAGCTGGGGGTGATCTTGCCTTTTGTGTGGAGGCTTATCTTGGCCTTCTGTGTTGCTCCTTTCTGGGGGAGAGGCCGGTATTTACATATCGCCTTCCCACAGGGTATTTCTTGCCTCCGGGCCAAATTGAGCGAGGGCTCCCTCTAGGGGCTTCGAGGCTACACTCCTGTGTGAACAGGCGTTTTCAGGCATGAGCCTCACTGAAGGGTAGGCTGCCCCTTGCAAAGCAATGGTGAGGCCTAAGAAGACTGTCCCCTGGGGATATTTTCCCCTTTACGTGGACTTAAGCAATCCAGAGGCGATGAAAGACAGGCATGGATCCAAGGCTAGTCCCTCGCCATTCCCTCCCTGGGCCTGTGTGCCAGAGAATTTCAGGCAGTGAGAGTAGGTTGGTGACACTGGCCTGGCACCATCCGTTAAAAGCTAGAGCCTTACTGGCACTCTAGCGTGTGGGACCCAGCTGCTTTGAAGGAAGCAGCACGTAGTCGTCCCAACTCTGCCTAAAAGCCCTGTGAAGTCGTTTTCCTTGGAAACTGCAGCGGCGGTGCCGTGAGGCTGTCTGCCCGGGTTCAAGGCCGGCTCCTGGGGGCCTTGGCTTGTAAGGCTGCAGAGCTGTTAGTGTTTCGGACACCCGCAGGCCTGCTGCCTGCAAGTTAGTTTATGCCACGTGGTACCCATCTTCTAAGGCTCTTGCAGTCCATCATGGTGTGTGTAGGGGGTGAGCTGTGCGGGCAGTATTTCTGCCGATTGAGTTTAAGTTCCTAGGCAGTCGGTTCTAGCAAGCGGGCATTGACTGGCATCAGGGGAAACTGATGTGAGGAATCCCTCCATGCCCCTGAGTGTCCACCACGGCCTTTGGGGACACGAGGTACTGTCTTCTGCGATAACTGCTCTGACGGCTCGCTTTAAGACCAGGTGGCACGAATGCTGTGACAGTTCTGCTTGCGTTTCTGTTAACTCGGAGTCACTTAAATTCTTGGTGTGGGGCCAGTACAACTTCTGAGTCTCGGAAGGAATGATGTTATTCCTATGAAAGGCAACCCACACGTCTGCTGAGGTCCTAGCGCCCGATGCTTCCGGATGTCCGCTCAGCCTATTCAAGGCCCCGAAGAGGGCATTTGGGACTTCACAGAAAGTCTCATTTTGTGAGAAAAATACCATATGCTACAGTGACCTTCCAGATTCAAAATGCTCACAGGCTGGTCTAAAACCTCTCACCCAGGCCACCTGCACGTCAGTGCTGTGAAAACCCACTGGGCTGAGCACAGGCCTCCGCACACCACAAGGTGAAATCCGCCGCCTCTGCTGTGCGCCACACCTCCGCTATGGGCCACGCCTCCACGAGATTCCAGATCACACGTGTGTTTTACTACCCAAATTCTGTTCTTCTGATTTTGATTTCTCAGTATCTCCAAACACTGCCCCGCCCCACTACAATGTTGGGTCGCCCCACTACAATGTTGGGTTTCTAGAGGAGCATGTCATAGTCCCTTCCTGAGTTGTGAACAATTAGAGAAAGAAAAAGGAACTGTCAATGGAAAACCAAAATAAAACCTCAATAAAGAGTAGTTGAAGGAGTAAGTTGGAGAGAGAGCCTGGTGTGAACTCCAGAGTGAGGGAAGTTTACCTTATCAGTTTGTTTCCTGTGAAAGGGAAATACCTTCCCCCACTCCTGTTTTCTGGGAAGAGAGATTTTCCTCGAAGCAGCACAGCACAACCTGTACTGACTCCTCTCTGATGAGCAAGGGGGTATGGAGGGGCGGGGCACAATGGTGCTATTTGGAGACAGGTGTGTCCCAAGGGGAAGAAGGACCACGCAGAGTGGAGGACAGCCAGTTATTTCACCCAACTTTATCAGCTAGGTCATTCCACCTCTAGGGACAGAGTGAGTAAAGAGGTTAAGGGAAGATCTTCTCCCAGAAGCCGGAGCGTAAGAGGTTAAGGGAAAAATATGGAGAGGAATCATGGGAAGGCAGTGGGCCTAGGGGCTTTTGGAAAGTTTACAAGAAGGGAAACAGCCAGGGATTTAAAAGAGGAGCAGGCGGCGCTGAAAGTCATGAACTCGTCCCCAAGACTCCAGCCTCCCTCTCGCCCCTAGTGGGAACATAGGTTCAGGTTTGGAAACAAAGTATTACCTTGGGCTTAAGTCCACACACTTCTTTTTCTTCTCCCTCACCTCTGTTATCTACACTGTTCAGAAGTTTAAACAAGATAATGCGAAAGATTTTAAAAATCGATTACAGCATATTCCTTTTCCATTTAAAAATAACTGTCTTCTCAGCAGACAGTTTTCCTTCTCCCCATCTTAGCTGACATTTTGTCACTGTTCAGAAAGCCAGCTGTTTCCTAAACAGTGAATTTCTTTCTTGCAGGAGACTGGACCTAAATAATTTCCTAGATACCACCTTGATAGGTAGGTTTCTGGTGTGATATTAACTTCTGGCAAGGAAATCCTGTGAATAATACCCAGATTACTATTAAATATGGAAATATCCACTATAATTTAATCTTTCTTAAGTTATACCTCTTTGATCCACCTCAGAAACTTTGAGTCTTTTTGCTTTGGATTGTTCATTTCAAATAGTTTTCCTTTGTGAAATGAGTAAACTTCTGTTTTGCTTGCTTTGATTTAAATGATAACCTTCAGTGAACAGGATCACTACTAGTTCCTTTCAAATGAATTTTTCTTAAAAAAATTTTTTTAAACATCATATTTCTGTCTTGTCTGAGATTTTTATCTGATTTTTTTTTAGAAGACCTCAATTCCTGTGTTCGGGCTTCTGATATTTGAAGTGTTTGTTATGGGAAATGGTGGAAAAAAAATTAATCTGCCAAGAAATCTTCCATACCATTCCTAGAATCTTGGGTATCTGCTCAAACAGCTCTGTTTTGGCTAAACAGATAAATAAGTGGCATCTGGGAGGGGAGCTGGTTGTGGAATCAAGGATGGGGTTTGAAACTTACCAGGATGAGGAAGGGAGCACGTATACATTAAGGAGATCAAGCTGCTAAGATAAGGCAGGAGAATTTGGCTAGTCCAAGCACTTCATAGACTAGCCTTGTGTTCAATAGGGTCTAGGAGAGCAGACAGCTGCAAACGTACTTTAAATGGGGTAAAGACAAAGTATGAACTTAAGGGCAAAAGGAACTGCACAAATTTAGCAACGACTCAGGCACAAATCCAGGCCTTTTCAGAAGAAGTCCTTAGGGACGAACAGAAAGCATATGGACCTGGAGTTAAGATACCTAGTCTTGAAGCCTGCTTTTGATAATGACTGATGAGCCATAGGAAATTATACTTAATTTCTCCCATAGTTTTTTTTATCTATACTCCTTCCATATTGGGTCTTCTGGCCCTTGAGATCAAAGTCAGATTGACTCAAACTTTCATTCACATCCTATGAAAGTTCTTATCAACTATTCAACACATACTTATCGAATGCGCTCCTTAAACTGGGGAGGGGGTGGGTTTCTGGAGTGTGAGTGTGGGTGTTTGTGGTGGGACTGCTTGGTGACCCTGTCTTAGGCACCTGCTTCCGTCAAAATGGTTCAGCTTATCATTGTCTTGTGCTGTTTTACACCTTGTGGATGGATCCACTCAACTCCATAACTTCCTTTAGTTCCATTCAAATGAATAAGTAGGTAAGCAAAGTAAGTAAGTAAATAAACAAACAAATAAAATACCCCTGGGGTGGGAGATTAAGAGGTACAAACTATTATGTATAAAATGAGCTACAAGGATACATTGTGCAGCACAAGGAATAGAGCCAATGTTTTATAACTATAAATGGAGTACAACCTTTAAAATCTGTGAATCACTGTATTGTACACCTGTAACATGTAATATCGTACATCAACTATCCTTCAGTAAAAAAGATACCTCTGGCTCTAGGCTTTTATGAGTAGAATAGGCTTTGAAAATTTGGGAAATGATGTATTTATTTCCCAGCAGTACAGGTAGCTTCGAGGTGAATCCTGTTAGAGCTCTGTCTGGAGGTCTTGCCCTCCACTGGGGAATTCTCACAGGCTGCCCCACCTTGTGTTGGGTCTCAGCCTCATGCCAGCTCACTGGCAGCTCTCTCTTCCCTTCTCCCCCCGATTTCCTGGAAGTCCCCATTCCAGACCCCACTCGGAAATCTGTGGAGCCATTCAGCTCTCCCCACTCTCAGACCATGAGGATGGCTTTGGACCAACTGCACTGACAAAACCACACAAGAGCTCAGCAGAACAGAGGGTGTTTCGTGAAGCAGAATCTGTCCCGTCTAGAAGGCAGCTCATTCATTCATTCATTCATTCAACAGAAATCTAGTAAGCCCCAGAAGGAACCGCTGAACACTGTTCTGGGCTCCATGGATCCTATAGAGAAAGAGAAAGAGACAAAAATCTCTGTCTTCCTAAATTTATGTTCTAGTCAGGATAAATGGACCATAAGCTGATTATAAAGCATAGGGTCTATTAGATGATGAAAAGAAACATGAAAAACTAAGCACAGGAGAGTGAGTGGGGTGGCAGTTTTGCACAGGGTGGCAATGGAGAGTCACCTGAGAAGTGACATTTGAATAAAGAACTGAAGGTTAAGTGAGTAAATTGGTTACACATGGAAAGTTATTT